AGTATGATAGAATATGCGCGATGGCTTTAGCTAGGACCTCTCTCAAACAGTGATTCTTACGCCTCAGCCTGCAGAATCCACGTCTCCCAGTTATCCACTTTTCGGTCTGCAGCCCGATAGCTCAGATTCGCTGTCTGGTTCTATTTGGAACCGCTAGTGTGGACATATACCGCCTTATTTGTCCACGAAGGAATCTACTAAAGCTATTCTACTCCCTTCTTACGTATCAGTTCTACATTATCCTCATGTTTTACTCAGTTCTGCATTTGTGTGTGTGTCTCTAATTATCTTTCTCGTGCATGTAAGGGAACTCCTCTAATAACTAACCAACACACATTCACTCTTAACGCCTGTACAGCGGTCCAACTATTGTTGTGCTCCCAATTACCACTGCAAACTTTGTGATTCTTCATTTCTAACTCGCCAGGTGGAGTCATCCACACAAGTTCTTACAGGTTTGACTCCTCTCATTGCAATCGCCTTCTCTTGACTTCACGGCTTTCCTGGTCTTGTGCCCTCTTGTATCTTCAGCGTTTGAGGCCAGTCTTACAATTGCATTGAAAATGCAATTGTGGCAGGTCAGTGCGATGTCTTCTCTTAGTTTCGATCTCTCCAGATGAATGACTGTGCATTGTCGCTGGTGTTGTTTAATTCTTTTGTTGATTGTTTTATTTATTTCTCAACGGTACCTTTGTGATTGTAATTTAAATTTATACACTAAACTCCAGAGAACTACATTTTATTGGACTTTTCAAGTTGTGTAGGCAAACCGCTGATGAATGTGGTCCTTCCTTTCGTAGAGGTAAAAATATACCATTTCATCAGCTGCGACCGCAGCTTCCGGGCCAATTTACATAATGGTAAACATTAAAATGTCTCCATCTATCTGTCTTATTTTTTATTCATAATCACAATCTTAAAAATTACTAATGACGTCCAAGGGGTATCCATTCTCAAAAAATCCGAGTTAATTTACATAATTGTTCGTTCCGGAATTCAGCATCTCTTAGTCCTATACTCCTTCTGCCCTTATTCATATTTCAATCTTCACTCCGTTATTATTGTAAAAATAGAAATTTAGCATTTTTCCGGCGTGAAATTTCTTTCAGAATAAACTTCTCGTAAGGTTCTTATTCAAGGTGATCACCTCTACATACAGGAACGGTAATATCCCGTGCTCCCTCAGCTCTATTGTGAGATTCATTTCTTCCTCAATCTAGTACATATTTTCGGTACAAAAACTATGATATTGACTTTGCTACATCATTTTTGTCTTTATACCTTCGATTAAAAATAAATTATACTTTTTGGCTTGGAAAATTAACCAATCGCTGCTCCAGAAAAAAAAGTCCCAATCCTTTGACTTCAATAATGATTTCGCCGTGTTGATTGTGCATTACTTTATTTCTTGCATTCATTCTCAACCAAGTTTTTTTTTCAAAGAATAAATACACTTTCTTGTTAAACTTTACATCCAGGAGTTGCAAGAGACCGGCGGTAGGCCGGTTGATTCCTTCCTCTGGCGATTCATCGGGGACTACAAGTACAAGCCAGTCTCACCCATCTTCCAGCACGACTGTTTGCGGCCTGATCGAGCTGCTTTTGTCCACGCCCATTTGCGTAGCCAACTGACGGGCCTCGCTCTTGAGGCGACGCTGGCTCGGGCAGCCGCCTTGGCTGCCTCCGATGTTACTCGGGTTGAATGCGGGGCTGATCATGCGAATGAGACGCATGTCTCGGACACAGATTTGACTGGTCGCTCCAGTAGGCTGAGCTCAAGAGCCTCGGAAAACGCGGAAGGTGCCCAAACCACCATAGCCGCGGATGGAATGACTCTAAGAACGGCCAAGTTCGACGGGAAAGCAGGCCAGGGAGGACCGGCAAAATCAAAGGACCTCGAATCTACCTCGTTCACACTGCCTGAAATCGTCGGCCCGTTTGACCATTCGCATCGTCATGATCACAGTCTCGGCTCTCGTAGATTGACCGGCCGATCCGAATTCCTATATTCGGCTGTTGACGGCCAGCTGGGCATCAGATCATCGCGTTGTTCTTCGCCACAAATGACCTCCGCTCGGCTGGGCGATTTGGGATCTGAATGCTGCTGCAAAGTAGGTTTACGGCATCGTGCTCGAATCCCACGACCGAATCATCCAGATTTTGACAATACCGGTTGCACTTCCGGACGTAGCCGAATTAACTCGTATGGACATCAAGCTGGTGCGTGGTTACTACTATTTTCACTAATATTTCTTTTTAACTTTGTCCTCTTTTTTATGTAATGCTTTTTGACTATCTTTTTCTCTCTATCCCCAATTATACCTTTTTGAGCAGTTTTTCATCTATATACCTTGTTATGATCGACTTTGTGCTAACGCGACTTTTTGGTGTTCTACCTACACCAACTATATTCGTTTTG